AGAGAAGGGTATAGTTTCTTAAAGAGAAAAGAAGCTATACTTACCTCTTGGACACCGCATATACCTATGAAAGGATTTTCTGTGCCGTGTCGTTGTTATAGAGTAAATTAAGAAGACCCTACTCTGTAACACTACAATCGGAATAATACCTCTACTGGAAAATAATATTTACTCGTGGAACTCGTAAATAAGAAGAGAGGAGTGTTAAACTCAAAAATAGTTCCACCATTTCAGAGCATGCGGATATCCATGTCCGCGAGACCATGTGATACACGTGATAGTCAAAACGCACAGTTCGAACAAACTCTTACCCAAACTCATAACTGTGCAACATATTTTATTTTTATTTTTATTTTTTTTGTAATACATATCTTATCTATTTTATAACCTTTATACATAGCATGCATATTACTATATATAGTTAACTCTACTAATATAAGGATGAACGCGTGATGAAACGTCGTTCGATCAGAACGATGAATTGAACCCCTTGACAGCAAAGGCTCTGGATACACTATTTGATGACTAAGTGGAAATTACCACTTAGCATCAAAGCCTCCTATTACACTTCGGAAAAACATCCCTTCCGAACTCATTAGGTAATAGATGAACAAAAGCATTTAAATATTATAAAAATGCCCTGTGCTCTGTACGTGATTACTGGTTCTTACTATAATTATCTAAGACAAATGTCCAAGCCAAGAGAAGGGCCTAATATAAACAAAAGAATCAAGATTGAATTAGTGGTTAAAGGAGGAAAAACACAAATTAATAACAGGTGGAAGAAAACCCAATGAATAGAGTAGTTTAAATAATTTATACGTAATGAAAAATGTATTTAAAGACTTATCTTTTGCTTGAATAAAATTATCGTTCAATTCCTGACTTATAATAAATCTAATACCTGTGTCTTCAACACAAGTTTCCTTTTTATTTTATCATTAAGAATCTTAATGATCGAAGCCACATAATTGATATGAAGAGATTTCACAATCACGTATTCTTGTTGTTAGACTTACTCTAACAACTTCTTGTATCTTCATATACATTTAACCGTCACCTCTTTCGAACCCAAATCACATATTAAAGCCTCTTAGTATTCACAGCTTAATGCTAAGCACATGAGGCATTTATAAGTTATCAGTTTGTATTTTTAGTTGGTTTGAAGATTGAATGTTAAGCATTCATTTATTATCAACGCCCGATTATATTGAACTGTATAAGAGGTGGTTTGAGTGTAACAGTACCATTCAAATCGTTTTGGCAAGCTAATTCGAATGGTACCAAAATTACATAGATCTTATTATTAGATTACAAGAATTTTGAATAATAAAATTGCTCCGAGAGTATACATGTTGGCAAAATCCCGACTTACTATAGTTTGGGATTTGTCTGCCATCCCAAATCCCAAATCCCAAATTCTAGTATAACTAATATCTCAAAAACTTTATTAATAATCTTTATTTAAACAAATTATATATATTCTTATAGTTATAAATAATATATTTACAAAATATTAAGATTATTTATTTGATTTAATCTTTTATAAATAGCAATTGTTTTTTTATTATTTAGAATTTGTCCGGGTTTTGCCAGCAAGTATATCTGAGGGGGTGCTTAATTTCGGAAGTATACGGTATTATTAGTTTAGTTTAGTTCTTGCAACACATAACAGGTGGAAACGTTGATGTTAATGTTACACGACTGATTTTACACACGGTGTGAAACACATAAAAAAATTATTTTACAATACTTGCACACCATTTTTTTATAATAAAAAATGGTGTGGAATTATAATCATAACATGTACTAGCTGACTGATCAAGTCCGATCAACACATATAAAATTTATGGCGATCTACAGACAGTTTAATAATATAATTAGTTTTCTTAATTATAATAAAAAATTTTGTTATCTCATACGTATTCTTTTTAAGTTTATATTGAAAGTGTATAAGATATTTAATAAAAGATATTATAACAGTACGACACACATGTACGATACAAGGGAGACTTTTTTACAGATGGATAATTGTAAACAAATATAATACGTAGAAAGTCCGATGACAGGTTTTCCTTTAACGGCACTCATATATACGCTGTTTCTGCACCATCATATCGTGAGAAATTGCACGATTTCAAGGGAATCAAGGGGAAATCAGGGAAATCGTGTATACTAAACAATTTTTAATGGATAGCGATAGCATATAATATGGAATACTCTCACGTTGCGTAACAGTAAACCGGAATTAATGGTTTTGGATGGGATCAACGACAAATGGCCTGTTGCCGGCAGTTTGCTTTCCATATATATACAAGTTTCACTCATACGTACCATGGATCTTTTTTGCGGAACACAGAGTTTGTCACAAGATCTTTAAGGGTGGCTGGTTTTTTTTTTAGAAAAAAACATCATATGGTTTCACTTAAAATTTTTTACAGATAGGAATATAATTTGCTCTAATATAAATTATATTCTTGTTAATTATTTTAACAGGTTTTTTTTTTTCTTTTTTTTATTTAATGATTATTAATTTGGAAATCGGAGTTGCTCCAGATTTTCTATTTGCACATAGCGCATGATGTGACGTACCTCCGACAAAAAAAAATTTCTTCAGCCCAAAATTATTATTTAAACTGTATAACTGTATAAATAAAATCAATTACTGATGATATAACGTATCTGGTATATAAATGTTTTTTTTAAAACGCAGTTTGCTTGTTCCGTGCTTGTAGAAGACTGTTGTTCCGCGCTTGTAGAAGACTGTTGTTTCACGCTTGTAGGTTGTTGTTTGCTGTTCCGCGCTTGTAGGTTGTTGTTTGCTGTTCTGCGCTTGATTGTAGGTTGCTGTTCCGTGCTTGTAGATTGTTGTTTGTTGTTTCGCGCTTGTAGATTGTTATTGTTTTGTGCATTGCAGAAGATTCCGTACTTTAATTGTTGTTGTATAAGAATGATGAGCTCTTCTTCGTTTGGTTCCGCAACTTCTGAAAAGGTAAGTTACGTCTGGAATGAGTCTTGGGTGCCCATCTCTTCTGAGGTTATGTCCATTAGCGTGTAGCGAGGTTGCTATAAGTCATATTCACTATTTATTTTTTTATATAGATATTACATGATGAACCGAATTTCCTCTTTGATTTCACATCTACATCCTATGAGAAGGTAAGATTTTCTTAATGAAGTATAATCTATTTTGGCATTATGAAGGTGTAAGTTACGCTGTTGGAGTGAGTCTTGGGTGTCCATCCTGAGA